TAAATTTTCTATAGTAGTATGACTAGAAAATCTTTTTGATTACAAAAATCAGTTATTTCTACTTTAATATTGAAGGGAAAAGGGATATGACCATTGCTTTGATGTTCTACCAACCTATTTCTCTCAAACGCTTGCCAGGTTAAGTATGAGAACAAAGAACTACTTGCAGAAAGTGAACTTCAGTAGATGTTTGTGAATGGCGGGTAAAATTACACCAACTGGAGTAAGCTTCAATAGTTGTCACATGTGTGGGTGTTAGGTTCAGATAAAACAATTTCCAGGAGAAGTATTCTCATTCAATCATTTAGTGACACTGATAGGACAACTTTGTGATAGGTGTGCAAAAGCAAAAAAGAAAAAGAAAAGAAAAAACGAAAGGTGGGTGGAATTGTTTAAGTTAGGAGGTTAAGACTATGGGAGAGACATAAAAGCAAGTGTTTGCCTAAAAAACTTCTATACCATTCCATTAACTTAGAGGAGTGTTGACCCTTGAAGACTTAGAGAAGAGTTGGTGATGACTGTGGTCAAGGGGATGGGCCAACACATAAAGTCCAATCATGGTGAGGAAAAGCACTGAGAAGAGGCTTAATAATCACCACAGCAAATCCTTCCATGAACCAGGAGCTATTGTCAACACTTAATCAACTCACTAAAACCTTTCTATGATCCCGTGAAGTAGGTGCGTTATGATCATATTACAGGAGAGGAAACGGAGACAGAACTGACAAAACATCTCCAAGCCCACCCACTGGAAATGTGCTGTGTAGAAACCCAAGCCCGCTACCACACTACTCCAAATACAATTGTGCATGTAAGGTGACTTCGGAAAGTACTCGCACAGTACTATTGCCACCTTCCTTTTCCATCTTGCTAGACACGTGTCTTTGAAGGGCAAATCATTCTCCCACATTTCTTCGATTAACTTTTCCTCCCTGTAATTAGATTAACTTTGCATCGTTCACAGGTAGGCACCAGTGCAGCTCAACTGGCAAGAAGCTGTAATTTATTTCCTGTAAAAATATTTAAAAATTGACTTCCTTTTTGAAAAAAAGGCAGTAATTTATTTCCTAAAAAATGTAACTCAGGGCCGGGGATTTAGCTCAGTGGTTCTGCCGCCTGCCTCGCAAACTCAAGGTCCCGAGTTCGATCCCCGGTACCAAAAAAAAAA